GTAAACATACTGCCCATTTCTCGGCTGGTTACGTCGACGGAGTGTGGGGCTGTTTCTAGAGGCTCGAGGCGATTCGCGGTGAGGACAAAGCTCATTCTTTCCCGATGATCGAACCCGGCACTCGTGAAATTCGAAGCCGCCTTTCTTAGTGCTGTTTCACCTCAGCCCCATTTACTGCCAGGTGATGCTTTGGTGGTTAAAACTTATGGATGTTGTGACGTTCTTCCGTTTACGAACATGAGATGAGGGATTTAAAGAGATAAGGGATTTCTGAGCGTATTTTCATTTTTTGTACGACCACCGAAAGGTGTGTGCTGGGAACAACAAAGCGAATAAGATGATCGAATTTGTATCAGCACAAACAGGAGCATTGTTGTCATTTGTCGTGATCTTCACCTTGAGCCGTTTGCACAACCAGAACATCTCTTGTCTATGATGCCGGGGCTGCACCGGCAGCTTTTCGAGACTTTCGCTACAAGGTACCGGTTAGTGCAACGTAGAAGGAAATATTCCTCCATGTTGCACGATTGCCGTGTTTTGCTCCCCCCTCCTCCCACACGAGAGGCTCTCGGACATGACTGAATTGTGTATGGTCAGTTACGGTCTGTCCAACACGATCAGCCTCCTTTTCTTATTCTCTACATCTACCGAAGCACCTGTGTCCGACAGAGAATGGAGTCATTGCGTACGTGGTCCTGTTACGTCACTCTCATTACGAGTCCAAGTCAACTCCGCTGGACGTAGTTCAGCCATTGTTCTTGCTCCTCCGTGTTCTTGATCCTCCATGGGGTACAACAAAACTGATCCGACAGAGGCAATGTACAGGCAACGTACAGTGGCAGATGCTATGTGCAGCCGTGATGGTTGAATTTGGCAACCTCTTCGGTGGCCCCACCTCCCATTCCGCTTGTAGATCAGCTGTTCGTGATCGGCCAAAAAAGTGACAGAGCCCATTTTTCTTATTGCTCAGTAGGACACTAGGTCAGGGCAGGAGTACCTCTTACGGAATCTTGCTTTATTTGGGTGAAGTCTCTCATCAGTTGTCTGCTTCAGCCTTAATAAGGATAATCCAGGTGAAAGATGAAGGAACTTGCTCGGAAAATGACGGTAGTGTGACATCACGATAATTGGAAAACTGTCACCTGACCACATATAAAAATTGTGACAGTTATTCCCAGACTCCATTCTCATTTGAAACGTTTGTACGTCCACATTTGAGAAAGTTATTCCACGATATTTCTAACATTCTCGTTCGTCGACGATTAATTAACTGGGGATAAATTACAACCACCCGATATTTTTCACGCTAAGGTGCAGCAGGACTTTTTGGATTCCTGTCTTATGGCTTGATCTCTACCAGTCTCTGATGTTGGCAAAGAATTAGCGGTCGGAAATGACCAATCTCGACAGCAGCCGTTGACCAGCAGCTGAAAATGCTCAACCCAACTTCTGCGACGCTCCCTCTGGCCTGACAGTGGACACATATCGTCTTGGACAATGACAAACCGGCTCTTCTGCTTCCGGGACAAGTGTCGCACCCGTTTGAACACTGTTCGTTATTCGTCTTCGTTGACTGCCTTGCCGATCTTCTTGATTTGTCCGTTCAGCCGAAGTCCCCCCTCCCGGCTGTTGCCGTGGTTGACTGCACTAACGAGACGGCGACGAGCTGCCTTACAGGGTGCAGTACGGTGTTGCAAGTGCCCCTTCTTTGCCGGATTCCTTCACAATCTATGAAATCGGTCTTCTCCGTAATCGACGGCAGATTGACTCTTCTGTTGCTGACCTCCTCTGTCGGAAATGACGGCTCTTCGCAGTCTTCATGAACTTCATCGACATTGCCGGTTCCCAACTGGGCACTAGGCGTGACATGAAACTTGACATGTCTCTCACCTCCTTCCGGTACGCCCACCGCGCCGCTTCGTCGTATCGTGAGTCTCGAACCTCAAGTGAAGAGTTGTGTGCA